CCAGCCTCCAGGCTTTTTACCAATTCTGACACCAACCATCCCTCCCACGACACTCACTGGTTTGATAATTCATTACAAGTGGCCACACTGAACTCACAGATCATGCTCGTGATTATGGGGTTTGTTAGGGAAGTAACAGGCTACAGTTCAGGCTCAGGAACACACTCAGGATACACTTCTTTGATCAGGACAGTCTCCCCTCTGCTGTGCCCTCAGACACTCCTCTCTGGCCCTTGGCCTCTCAGCCTGGCCTCTCTGAGCTCTTTTAGCTCTGCCGACAGGTACACCTAGGTGCACCCCACTCTGCCAGAAAGCTCCTGCCCAAGTGCACTCAGTGTTCTCGCTCTGTGGGCCAGGTAAGCCTGCTGCTTTGTCTCATCCCTTTTGATTCCACTGCAACACTCTCTCTGCCGGGCATCTCTCTCTGCCGGGCGTCTCTGCCATGCAGCTCTGGCAGGGAGGTCCAGTGTAGGGATCTCAGCTCCAAGGACACACTCTACTTCACCTGCAGCTCTTCTCTCTTGATGGCAGTGAGACCCCCCTCTCTGTCTCTAGGAAGGCTTATTTTAAGCCTGGCAAAAGGAAAAAAACAAACAAACCCAACATCAGAGTTCTACACACCTTATTTGCATGGTCCCACCTAATAATCCAGTGGAGTTACAAAGACTAAGGCTAGACAGGCCATACTAAATAATTCACTGCACCCCTGGTTTTTCTAGGTATTGTCCCTTTCATACATCCAAGATTAACATCCCCTTCACAATTAATTTAAGAATAAGCACACCCTTGAAGGCATGTAAGACAGACACTCTATGCCTTTATCTTCCCCCATTTGAAACAGCCAGTTTCCAATTTGCCCATCCCTATCAAACCAGCACTCTGAGGAGCCAAGCATGTTCCTTTCTCTCTGGAGAATCTTCTGTTCTGCTTGGAACTTTGGGCATCTGCATCCATAAACAAGCAAAGTCCAGGCCGGAGAAAGCCATTCAAATCGCAGCAACTTAACTCCAGCTCAGTGTCAAAACATCTTCCTCTTCTTCATTTGGTCGGGTTCCAGTCAGCTCAGCCCTGGGCATCCCAGCTAGGTCATGGGTACCAGCTGCAAGCTCAGGAGCCACACTCCTCCCCTCACTTCAGACCAGCCAGCACCTTCTCTCTCATCTCTAGTCCTCCAGGACTAGTTCAGTGCCTGTAGGCTCAGAAGTTCACACAACTCCTTGCACTTCAGACCAGCCGGCCCTTCCTCTCGTCCCTAGCTTCCGTGGGCCAGGTTAAAGAGTACCAAACTCAGCTGTTTCTTCATTGCTGCACTTCCTCTACTTCCATCCGGTGGACCCAGGTGGTCACAAGCAAGCAGCATACGAGCCTGCTACTCACCAGCTCCCTTTAACTTCCAGTCCAGGAAGGGGTTTCTCTCATGGGCCATGACTTTCCTGCCTCAATGCACCCAAAGCCAAACTGTTTGCTTTAAATTCAAGGAGCCAGATATTTTCTCTGCAGAAACAAAGAGAACTTTTCTCCTTCTCACAGAAACAAAGGGAACTTTTGTCCTTTGTTTCTGTCTTTAAATGCAAATCTTCTGTTCTCTCAGTAGTTCTCCCAGGTTTTCTACCAGCAGTAACCCAAGGCCTATTCCTACCAGGCCAGACATGCTGCCTCCCTCCAGCCCTTTCACCAGCCGTTCTTCCCAAAGCACCCACCACCTCTCTCCTGGGTTTGATAATTCCCTGCAGTGGCCACACAGAGCTCACAGATTATGAGTTAATTAGGGAAGCACCACAGGCTACAATTCGAGTTCAGGAAAAATGCTCAGTCTCTCTCCCAGCCCACCGTCCCTCAGCCAACAGTCTCTCACAGTCTCTTTCCCAGCAGTGCTGGTCCCTCGGTGTCTCACTCAGCAATGTGTGTCTCTTGCAGCTCTTTCCCAGCAACACGTGTCTCAGGAGTCTGTGTGTCTCTTTCAGCAGCACGTCTTCCTCAACCAGCAGTCAGAGAGAGTTCTGCCTCTAGGAGGGCTCCTTTTGAGCCCGGCAGGGTGGTCAAACTAGCCAATCACAGCATCAGAACTATAAGCACTTGAGAGAGAGAGTGGGCACCTCCCAGAACACTGTTTTGTGCCACTCCCAACAGAAATACTCCAGGTGGACAAGTTCAGCAATCAGGAGCTCCTCAGTTGCTCATAGAAAATCCCACCTTGGAGTTTACAAAGACTTATGGGTAGAAAAGTCACACTAAGTAATTTACTACACCACAAGGGGTAACCCCATATCCAGATTTGACTCCCTGAAACTCTATCGAATTACAGATTTGTAGGTTTCAGAAGAGAGGGTTATGCATATTCCTAAAAATTTCAGGAATTTGGGTGTGAGATGGTTGACAATTGGCTGAAATGTTATTTCCCAATAACTTTGTTCCTCTCTGCCCCACTGTGCATGTCCACAGGCCAGAGTTAATTTTCAAGTTGTTTTCTAAGACACCTTATTTATTACCTATGCCTAAGGAAATAATAGGAAAGACTGTTTTTCCATTCAGTTCTTGAGGAACTGAGCTTATCGCATTTACTCATCTGTCTCCAACCTGGAGTCCTCTGTGTTTACTTATCTAGATCCTAGGGAAATAGTTGATGGTAATTAAGTTTATTTATCTATTCCCACTCTGGGTCCTATCTGTTACAATTATCTGCCTTAACCAAGGTGGGGGAAATAGTTTTGACTTTACTCCGTTTCAACAACATGACCAAAGTAGATGAGATGAAGTCTGACCACTTTCGCTTCCAAGGAGCATTTTGGCTGCACTCTACACACAAGGCTTGAAACAAAAGCCTGTGTTTCTTTTGGGCAAATTCTATTTCCCTTTTTAACATATGCACTCAAGTATTGGATGAATGCAGACTTACATACTCGCTGTTATCCCTATCCAATATTCATTTCTAACATACTAGGTAAGAGAACATTGAATATCCATAGTTCATTTAGATAAACACATAATCCAAAACAGGTAGGTAATCCTTTTGAAACAATTCAATTTCTTCTCTTCACCTTGATTATCTTCCCATTCTATACATATGGCCTTGGGCATTTGACTGGGTGTAACCAAAAGCCCTGGTCTCCAGATCAGTTATCTCCTTTAATTGGCTTGGCTTTTGCCTCAGGCCGTTCTCCCCTCAGCCACAGCATAATACCTATAATCCTCCATTACAGGTAATAACAACCAAAGTAACCACCTAAGAACCAAGTTTGACTTTCCGGTCCCCTTCCTTCTTTCTCTTACAAACTCTCATGCTTCGGTGAGTCTGGAGCCATTGCAAGGAACCCTGCTTCTGACACCAACCGCATCCCTTATAGGGAGGACATCACAAACGGGAATTTGAATGACTTGCTCTGAGGTGGAAATGCTTATCAAACGTGATTTGAAGGTGAGAAGGAGAAAAGTTCCCTTTGTTTCTGTGGAAGACAGATGCTGGGAGAAGCGGGTACCTGGTGATCTTTCTCCTGGATCCCTCAGAGCTTGCCACAACTTGGAGGGGCCAGCGGGCCTTCCCGTGCCGGAAGGGCTGTGCATTCCGGGCATCTTTGGCTCAGCCCTGGGGCTCGGTGCCACAGTTGGCGTGCCGTCCGTGCTGACTGGCTCAGTCTGTGATGACAGGTGCAGGGAACGATGAGGGGAGCCAAGGCCGTCAGCCAGCACAGCTGCTTTGCGATTCTTGGCCCTTCATGTATGAAAACAGCAGCCTCCGGGTTGTTCTTCAAGATTGGAGTGCTGTGCTCACTCCAGCTGTGTACTTGAGGGTCTGTATCGGCCCCTTACAGAGAAAGGCAGTTAGAAGAGCAGAGACATGTGCCCGTAGACCTCTTGGCACTTTCCTTACTCATTAACTTTCCACCCAAAAAAAAAAAAAAGTCATTGAAATGACTCCAACTCACGGCAACCCACGCATTCAGAGTAGAACTGTGTTCTGTTGAGTATTTAGTGACTTACTTTTTGGAAATAGATCACCAAGCCTTTCTGCCGAGCCACCTGTGGCTGGGCTGGACCCTTCTTTTGATCAGCAACTGAGCTCCTTAAATCTGGCTTAACTCCTTACCTTGAGCTTTCCACTGAAGGGCAGGTCATTTAAGTCCTGTTTGTGGCATCCTGGTTTATACAGGGATGCTGGTGTGGCTATAAGTGCCTTAACTTGAGGCTGTTGGGAAAAAGTGGCTTAATTTGAAAGCCAGGAAATGAATATGTTAATAGAACCAGCCATCCGCACCCTTGACGAGCCATGGGATTCCTGTGCTGCATTTTCCTTACAATCTAGGTAATTGGACAGATGATAATGTATTACATTTCTTGGTGTTGCCAACTGTTTCCATGCTGTTACATTTCTCCTTCTTCTCCCCTCTCTCAAGGCAGGTGATGATAACTGGATGCAGGAAACAAACCAGAATTTGGCGAGAGAGGTGAGGGTTGCTCATTTTTTAAGAAGCACTGTCCTGTTCAGCGCTGGCTTCTCTCAACAGTGGCAAGTAACCTATGTTCTCTTTTCAGGCTGGTCTGAACATCACTCACATCTGCCTTCCTCCAGACAGTGGTGAAGATGAGGTAATTACTACCTGGCATTTAAACTCATAAGGAGCCCTGGTGGCACAATAGTTAAATGGTTGGCTGCCAACCAAAAGGTCAACGGTTCAAACCCACCCCTTGGTTGCATGGAAGAAAAACCTGGCAACCTGCCTTCATAAAGATAATAGGCTAGAACACCCTGTGGGCAGTTCTGCAGTGTCACATGGGGTCACTGTGAGTCTAAGATCAACTCAACAGCACCCACCCAACAGCATTTGAACTCATACTGGCTTTCCTTTTTAGACCTTGTTGACTTTATTAGTGCCTTGCGGTTGTGGTTGGAAAAGAGCAGGCCTTTTCTTGTGGTTAAATTTCAGGGAGAAAGGGATCTCTTTTCTTTGTTGGTCCTTTTTGTCTGTGTGTTTCTGTCGAAGACGTGACCTAGCTATTTGGGGTGTGTTTCTTCAGCTACAGAGACAGCTTCATCTAGTGGAAGCCATGTGGCTGTCAACGTCTGGAGGCAGAGTTTTCGTTCTTGCTCTGTTCTGACAGGTTGTTTGACTGTGGGTCGTCCTTTGAGTTCTCTAGGTCACAGTTGATGCAGAGAGTTCTGGCTACCTGGGACAGGCCAGACTTCACAGGTTCAGGGCATCGTCCTCCAGACTGCCACGTCTGCCCAGGGCTTCAGATACCAGCTCCAAGCTCAGGGTTCCCCAGGCCACATTCAGTTCTGGCCAGCTGGCATCAAATTTGGGGGCTCCCACTGATCGCCTCAGGTTCAGTGATTTGCTAGGCAGACTCGTAGAACTTGGGAAGTGCTACACTCACAATCATAGTGGTATTATAGCAGAAAGATACAGATCCGAACCAGTTAGAGAGAGAAATGTAGGACTAGGTCTGGGAGGGTCCTCAATGTGAAGCTTCCCTGTCGTCTCCTCATGGAGTCAGGACACTTCATCCAGTCAGCTGTCCAGAGTTTTATGGGGTCTCATTACGTAGGTGTGAGTGATTGGCTCAACAGACTCATGATTGAACGTACTCTCTAGCCCCGTCCCATCCTCGGCTGTCACCTGGTGGGTCTTCCTGGCATGGCTAGTTCCCACCATCAGTCAACTCCTTAGATTACGTCTCAGGTGTGGTCTGGAGCCCACCGTGAATGAAGAAGACCCTCCTTAACTCAGGAAATTCAGGTGTTAAAGGTCACTTCCCAGGAACTAGGGAGCTCTGATGGTGTGGTGGTGAAAGCATTCAGCTGCTAACCAAAAGGTCAGCAGTTCCATGAAAGAAAGAGAAGGCAGTCTGCTTCTGTAAAGATTTATAGCCTAGGAACCCTATGAGACAGTTATACTTTGTCCTGTAGGGTCGCTATGAGTCAGAATTGACTTGATGGCAGTGGGTTTGGTCCCAGGAACTAGAAATAAAGGCCAGATAAATTCTTAGGACAAAATTAATTATTATTATTTTTGTACTGTGATTTGGGTGAAAGTTTACAGAACAAATTCACTTTCCATACAGCAGTTCATATACACGTTGTCTCGTGACATTGACCACAATTTACCCCAATGCAACAGCTCCCCTCCCACTTCCTCCCTATAGTTACCTCTTCCCTGTGTCTATCCCTCCATGCACTCCTGCCCCCTGAGCTGTCTCCCTGTGCATAAGCAGCCTTTCTTTCTCCCATGATTGTTCTCTCCAAGGAGTGTATCTAGCTCAGGTAAATGTTCAGCCCATACAGCTGTCTATTGTTTGGCTGGAAGCCACAGCTGTGGGTTCAACAAAATTAATTTTTCACTCCATAGTTGCTTTATCTTATTGATAATAAAAGATGAGGATAAGATGATCTTCAGGGTCTTTCCAGCACCATTCTTCTTTGACTCCTTCAGTGACGTTTTGGGGCCACTGATAAAAAACAACCAGAGGGTTCCTTTCATTGCTATTGCACGTGATTTAGTTGTTTGCCAGCAGGAAGTAGCAGCCTTCGTAAGAGCCTTCTAACTTTTGGAAGAAGCAGCCTCCCCAAAGCAGTGGTAAAGAAGCTAGACCAGAGGCCACACAGGTTCCTGGCCCCCAAGTTAATACCTGGTCCTTCTAATGACAAGGTTTCTTCTGATTTGCTATACCATCAAAGATGCATTGGGCTTTGTGTGATTAAAAACAAAAAACGAAACCAAACCCCTGCCATCAAATTGATTCAGATTCATTGACCTTACAGGACAGAGTACCAGTGCTCCGTAGGGTTTCCAAGGCTGTAAATCTTTACAGAAGCAGACTGCCTCATCCTTCCACTGTAGAGTGGCTGGTGGGTTCGAACCACTGACCTTTTGGTTAGCAGCCTAATGCTTTCACCACTGTACCACCAGCACTACCTAGAAAACCTCAAATGCCAGAATCTTAAATACCACAGAAGTTTCTTTTTCTTGTGCATGAGTAACATCTGGAAGTAGTCAGTCCTGGTTGGTATCATGGCTTCACAGTCATTGGAGACTAAGGCTCCTTTCGTGTTACTCGACCATCTTGGTTGAGCTGCCTCATGGTCCAAGATGGCTTATTGGATTCTGTGTATCACACCCACATTCTAGAAGAAAAGACAAAGAGGAGCTGTTCTCTTACCTTTATGGATGTTTCCTGAAAGACACAATTCTACTTCTGTCCTTTTGTGCTGAATCTCATTGCTTCACCATAGCACAAGGGAGGCTGGGAAATGTAGTTCTTATACCAAGCAGCCTTAGATAATTTATAATCACATCAAAAAGTGATGAGTTTATTACTCAGGAAGAAGGGAAAAATGGATATTGGACAAATACTTTCTGCCACCCTTGACGCTGTAATATATTACAAATATTAAGATGCCTGTTACTCCGATATTAACAAAATGCAGAGAACCTTGTTGCCCGTTTGTGGGACACCCTTTGCTTGCAGTAGAATTTACCATTGTTAGGTTGCTTTGCTACTGGTATTGATAGCCCCGAACTTACTTGTTCCCTACATTTCTTTGGTGAAATGCTGATAGTTATGAATTTGTGTGGAATTACTATTATTTTGAAAAAGATAAAATTTTAATGTATTAGTTACAGATGTTTGCTTTAGTTACTTCTAGGAAATCCTGGTTACAGGTAACAGTGGGATAATAAAGATAATGCTTATTCTGACACATATTATTTTAAGGTAACATTTGCCAAAGTGTGTTTCCTAGGTGGCAGGTAGAAACTATATTGCAAGGTTACAAGGCTAGGTACATTTGGGAAATGCTTTTAACTCCTCAGAGTGGTTAACATGCTAATACACACTGCCACCTCCTGAGGGAGGAGTCTAGCGTCAGCATTTCCCCAAGTTATTTGAGCAGCATCCCCTATTTGTTTCTGAGCATCTTCAGGAACAGGGAGGGACACTGCCCTGTGTGTCCAGGATTAGGTTCTTGACAAAAGTAGAGGTGGAGCTGAGGACTGTTTGCATGTAGCTGACATGTCAGTGCATTTGGAGAAAGTCTGACATCATAAGCGAATGGAGTTTCTTGTATTACGTGATAAGTGAAATAATGAAACAGTGAGAAAAGGTATTTGGGCACAGGGAGTCTGCTTTGATGAGTCAGGAAGTCTGAAAAAGGCTCCAGGTTGGGTCTTCCTGGACAGCACCTAGTAGGGCTGTTTGGTTAGACACGGTGTGTGTGTCTTTGGCAGATTTCTGAAGGGATTTGGTTCCGTTTCATTCACAACTCTTGTCTGTGCGTGGGCCCCAATACCGGGGCTGCTCCCCAGATTTCCACGCAGCTCATCCCCCCTCGCCTCCCCATTCTTCTTAGATGTCACGCCCCGGAGGGGCCTTCTCAACTGCCCGCTCCTCCTGTCACTCTCCTGTCCCTTTGCCCTGCTTTGTGTTTCTTCCTATCATTTGTCACTTCCAGGGTTTGTGTTATTTGGGGAGCTTTCTCTTCCCAGTGGAATATAAGCTCCTTGGGGCAAGAATTTTTTGTGTTTTGTTTCCAGCTTTATTTTCTTTACTTAGAACTGATAGAAAGAAAGTGCTCAAAACGTATTTGTTGAATGAATAAAAGAAGAGTGAGTATGAAACACAATGTTCTTTTTTCTTTTTCGTTTGTAAGTCATATAGCTTTCCCTGAACCAATTGCCAACGAGTTGGCCCTGACTCCTGGCATCCCCTCGTGCGTCAGAGTGGAACTGTGCTCCTTAGGGTCTCGGGCTCCTTTCTCAGAAAGTCCTCACCAGGGCTCTCCTCCAAGCTGTCTTTAGGTGGACTCAAACCTCTAACCTTTCAGCTGGCAGCCAAGCACAGTAACCATTTGCATCACCCTGGGACTTCTTTCTTCCCCTACCAGATAATAATACATACCATAGTGAGTTTTTCTGGGCAGTGAAACAAAAATAGTAAACAAACCCTTCATAGTGAGATCAATGTGTGTGGGCTGGTCTCTCTCCTACTTATGAGCAAATCATTCGGTTCAGTGCAATGAATCAGTGTCTTATCTCCTGGCACAAAATAGAGACACACAGAGGAAGGAGAAAACATTGCTTAATTAAAGACAGATACACACATAAAAATACCAAACCCACTGTCATCGAGTCGATTCTGACTCTTAACGAACCCACTGCGTTTCTGAGGCCGTAAATCTTTATAGAAGTAGAATGCCCAGTCTTCCTTTTTTGGAGTGGCTGGTGGGTTTGAACTGTCAACCTTCTGGTTAGTAGTCAAATACCTTAGGCACTACGCCACCAGAACTCCTAGAGACATACACAGTTATGAGTTGTTCCCTAAGCTTCCCAAATTGCACCTTTATCTTTTTCACAAATAGTGAATTATTTTAGTGTTTCCCCCACCAGCCACTCCTCAGAAGGAAGGTTGGGCAATCTACTTCCGTAGTGATATCGCATCGGAAACCCAAGGAGGCGTCGCAGTGAGTCGGGTCTGACTCGATGGCACAAAACAACAACAACAAATGGCTGGAGGCTTGAATGCTTAGAACTGATCACAAGCTTTGGTGACACTCGCTGTGTGCTGCTCGGGGCCAGAGAGTATGAGGGCCTATGTGGTGACTATTTCAGGATCGTGATTAGTGGGCTTTTGCTGCACACATTGTGTTTGAGGCACAGGCTTGGCTGGGCCTCGCTGGAATGCTCGAGAGTCGTGCTTGCAGGCCTCACTCACAGCGGGCAGTGTGTTTCACTTGAAATAGGCTTGTCTTTTGCCCATATGAATCTTCATAACTATTGAGCTTTTCTTTCACTCTGTTTGTTTTTTTTTTCTAACAGCAAGTAAAGCCATAAGAAAGAGCCAAAGAGAATTCACTAAAATATTGAGTCCAGCTTTTTATTTTTTGAACTTTTATTAACATGATGAGAAGAAGAAATAGACTTC